TTAAAGTTCCATTAAACCTCATGCCCTTTCCAGGTTCTTTGCCTGTTCTTATGTGTTTTTCTTAGATCATGGTCTCTTTTCTTTTCTCTCCCTCCCTTTTTTTTTTTTTAATTGCGGACTGTTTCTAAGGTTTGGGCTTTACTTTTTTTCAGGGTTTGTGTTTCCCCCCCCCCCCCCCCCCCCAAACAAGCACTACCTACTTCTGTTTTTTTGCTTTTGCTTTATGCTTTCATTTATTTTATCCTTGTGTTCAGTCATTTTTCCTTTTGGGTCTTCATACATCTCTTTCCCACCAAACACGCCCTTCACACACTCCTCCTCTTATGGTGCCTTTGCTTCAGATGTAGCATTTATTTTGTGTTTGTCTGGCACGCAGTTCCCAAATGTCCAACTCTATTGGGAGCTCCCATCTACCCTGTCCCAATTCTGCTGGGGCTTCTGTGGCTTCTCTTGCTCTTTTCCCCCTCCCGAGACCCTGATGGAGGCAACAAAGCCACGTCTGCTTCATTCCTGGATGCCTTAAATGCATCTGGGCTCTCTTTCACAACGCAGACTGCAAAAGCTGCTGGAAGGGAGAAAGGGTGAACTTGAGGAGCAGCATTTGCCCTCTGATTTTCCAGATTTCTCTATGGCCATCAGTAAAGGCATAACCAGTCTGACACATGTTCTTGATGGCCTGTCACACAGCATTAAGGGTGGATCCAGCTTCCCACTGGACCAGAGCCACCAATTATACATAACAAGTGGCAACATTTCAAATGACTGATCCTTATCTATTGTACTTGGTAGAGCCACACCATCACGACTGACAGCACTAACAAACCCAGTCAGGAGAGTAGAAGCATCACCCTTCTTGCACAGTGACAGAAACTGCCTCTCCCTGCCGTCACGGCCATTCTCAGGGCTCACAGGGCAGAAATGTTTTTCCACCAAGAAAAATGCACAAATCTCACACATGGATATGTTAGCTAGCTAAATTTCTAGAGGGTACACATAGTTCCTTGCTAGCTTCACTGATGATGATTTTTTTTTTTTGACAATTCAGCTCGCTTTATTTATTTCTACTGCCCGTTCAGTTTTTTAAATAGCAAAAACTCCAGCTGCTTTCCTTGTAAGTGGATCACCTCTGCAGTTTGCATTCCAACCGCCTGGTCTTGTTTAAGTCAAAATTAAAGCAGTTGGTGCTGCCAAACATTACGTTAAGTGAGAGAACCCTCTATCCTCATGAAATTTTAACTCCCACAGGCTTCCACTGGAAGTTCTGCACATGAATAGTTAGCATTAGCCATCCTTCATCTCAATAAAGCAGGGTCACCACCGCATTTGGTCACAGGAGGCTCAATAAATTGTAAAGAATTCAGCATGGATCCTCAGAGCCCTTGATCTGATAATGAGAGAGGACCTAGCCTGGGATGGGAGATCGGAAAACTCAGTACGCTTCTGTAACTGATCCCTATAGGCTCCAGGCTGGAGCTAGTTCAGCTGCTGCCTGCAGTATCAGTAAGGAGGGAGCTGCAGAAGCAGTCCTTCCCCAGAGGCTGCAGGAACTGGATGCTATCAGGAGGGAAAATTCCTCCACAGAGCCCCTGTCCTTGGTTGGGGCCAGGCTTGTTGTCTGTAGATGAGAAGTGGAAGCCTTAAGTCTTCTGCCCTCAACCCTTCTAAGTTAGTGCCACTCCCACAGCTTCCCATACAGATGAATCGCACAGATTTTCACAGCTGTGCAAAATGGCGAGGAGGCATTCTTTCATATTTGCAATTTGTCACAGGCTCCAAAAAGAGTGCCTGGAAATTACTTTGAAATTTACTCGATCACATTCCACAATCTCTCCGGGAACTTAAATTGATTTGAAGCAGCACAGAGGAAGAGAGCAGATAGCTCACGTGGCTGTGCTCAAAGCTCCGCACAAGGTCCAAGTACTTATTGCTGAAGGCTGCTCCTAATGGTTTCTGTGCTGTTAGCATTCAGGTAAATAAAAATAGGATGGGATATTTAGTAAAGCATCCTTCAGTGCTGTTCAGTGACTATATTACAGCTAATAGGAGACAAATTAAATAAAAGACACATAGCTGTGATTCCAAAGAGATACTAACTACCTCGGCTTGGTAAGGGTAGACAGAGAAACTGCCATTTTAATGCAGCATGTTTGCACAGAACTAGCCAGCAAACGAGCAAGTGACTAAGATATGACAGTTTTACAAAACAAAAACAACAACACCACCACAAAACCCCCACGAAACCAAAAAAAACCCCCAAAACAACACAACCTTTTCTTCTCCCTTATGGATTCTTGGCACAGACATAAGAACCACAGAGTTCTGCCCTCAAATTAAAAAGTGGCAAGTTCTAGCAAGCTGATGAAGCCAACAACGTAGCAAGATTGATAACGACTGGACTGTGGGGTTTTTTTTAATGGTCAATAGTAACACCCATATGTATCCTAATTAATATAAAACCTATATAAATACTTATATTATTACTAAAGCCTGGAAGGACAGCATTTGTTGTGATCTGAGTCTTAGACCAATATTCAGTGTCAAAAGACACCTATAAGCATGTTTGGGATCAGACCATCCAACTATCTACCCCCTTCTTCTGAACTACCGTTACTGGCCCCTTTCAGAGAAAGGTGTTTCTGGATATGATCCCACAAAACAATTCCCAGCCAGCAGCAGCTTTCACTGTTTAACTTCTAATGGCCACAAAAAGTATAGGAGGGTCTCCCAAGCAAACTAGCATCTAAGTTGTGAATTGAGGACTGATCCTTTGCATTACATCTCTGTATATTTCTCAGATCCAAATTGGCAACAAAAATTCCTGTTTACTTCAGCATATGCAAAGCATTTTCAGATATCCTCCCAGGATGCTTAATACTCCAAAACCAAAACAGACACTCTTCAGATTATTTTTTTTTAATTGAATATCATTTGAGCTGAGCGCCATGTAGCGTTCCTGAAATGATACTTATAATTAGCCTCTAGCCTCAAAATGGGAACTGGAAATGCTTTGATAAATGAATTGTAAAGGCCAGCCAGCTAGTTTCGTTGTGACTTGTGGAAACACATCTGTATCCTGTGCTGACATGCTATTTTGTTTTGCTGCAAACCACACAAGTCTGCATCTAGAGAGGACAACATGTTAGTCATCGCAAGTGTCCTTACGCAGCCTCTTTACAACCCTTGCTGTCTGAAATTGCTCTCACCTTTTCCAGGCTGTCAGTTTACCTGTTACCAACTGTTGTTGCTCCACTGAGATTGCCTGTCAGTTTCCAGTCCCTGGATTTACACACAAGCCCTGTTTATCATCTACGATGGCCAAATCAATCATCAGTAAAAGAAGGGCTCAGTAAGCAATGGAGCACGCCTGGGAACCATCACAGAAAGGCGCAGTCTTGCACTAGTAAATTGCCTGGGAGGCTGAAAGCAGAAGGTTGCTTTGGAATGCCACGGCATGTACGTGCAGGATGCTTGACAACACTGCGTTTGCTTTGTTTTGGATTTTCCTAATATCTTGCATGTTCATAGACTGGCATGACTGATATGGATCTATTTTAAGACAGCTCATGTCAGGATGGCCAAGTGTCCAGTTCTTGGTGGACGTCTACAGTGACATATGCCTAACCCATGGTGCAGACAAGGGCATCTCTGAAGAAGCAGCAAGACTTGAAAGTAACATCTCACACAACCCACGTTCCTTGATAATCTGCACAACCCTGAAAATGGAGATAGAACTGAGGTGGGCAATGGATAGGCAGCGGTGGCAGAAGTTGAGCAACGAGGGAAGAAAGGTCTCTAGGGTAAACCTCCCTTCATTTTACCTACATAAAGCACACCAATGAATCACAGAACTATCTGTGCTAGGTTTGTCTGCTTTAATCATCTGTTGGTTAATTAAAACTCAGGCTATGGCTGTGTGGTAAACATGTCTTCTCTTAAAGAAGAAGTAATAAAGGAGCAGGGGAAAAGTCACAAAGTAAATCAAAGGGATGGTCGGAAAAGGGATAACCAAATCCTCTACCTCTGCTCAGTGCTTTTACCACTGCTTCTTATTGCTCTATCCCCCCACTCCCATAGTGAAGGGGGGAGCACTGGGGGACAGGTTGGTCAGCCTCAACTCAATATGAAAAGATACTGGGATGAACAACACGGTAGGGGGACGGGACACCAAAACAAATGTACAAGCACCTAAGAAGTAACACAGTACTGAAAAACAGCCAACATGAGTTTTTCAAGAAGAAATGGTGGCATACCATTCTAATTCCTTTAAGAGGATAATTGGATCAGCAAAGAAGAGGCGAGCAGGGGGTGAGCTGTATCTTAACCTTTTTAAGACCCATAACCCTACTCCATGCAACTTTCCTATAAGCAAACAAGGGAAATATTTTCTTGCTGTAATTACCATAAGGTGGGTGCACAAAATACTGCACTGAGAGCCCAGTTACCAATGGTTGACTGTCAAACAAGACAGATATTTGAAAAGAGGTACCATGGGGGTCAGCCCCAGGCTTTAGTCTATTTAGTATTTTCATTAAAAATTTGGATGCTAAAGCAGAGAGTTCACATACAAAATCCGCATATGATATCATGGTGGGGGTGGGAGAAGGGCTTCACCAGTCCTTTGGAGAGCAAGTTTAAAGTTATCTTCATAAGTGGGAAGCAGACCGAAAGCTAACATGATAAAATCTCCTAAGAACAAAAGTAAAACATTGCTTCTCAGCAAGAGAGGCAAAAAAAAAGGCAAAAACGCTGCTCAGAGAAGCCTCCCTCAGAGCGGCTGGCACACCGGCTCACATGGGGAACGGACTACGCTCCTCTGTACAGCCTCCAGTTCCGTCTGCCTGCAACTCCTCCATACAGACCCAAGTCCCTGTGACAAGGCATGACCTGCCACAATAAGGGGCCAACACGTTCTCTCCAAGCCTCTTTTAACATCCAATATTTAAAAATCTGTTACGCATTAGAAATACCAAAACAAATAATAGGCAGTATTGTTCAGGCACCTTCCCACACTATCAGTTAATACCTTATTGCCAAATTATTTAAACCAGTCATTTTTGGGGCTAGGCCCAGATTCAGGCATTGAGACTGAAGTTGTTCAGGTGTCAGATCCTGCCACAAACAAAAAGTCCCCAACATTTGCTATTCAAGCAGCTGTGGACTATCAGGGTCTCCTCTGATCAGTCCAGGTCTTTATTCTGTGGATACATATTCAGGTGTGGATGACTTAAAAAATACTGTGCATTCATCCTTAAACAATAAAAGCCATGTGCCTTCATCTTTATTCTCTCTCAACACTGGGAATCCCATTGTTTCAGGAAGGGTTAACGGTCTACAGTGCTAAGATTAGGAGGCACCTGTCGGGAATAATTAGAAACCCTGATGCACATTCTCCCAATGATTTGGCAGAAGTTAAACAATTTGATATGCCCTCTGTCTGGGAAAGTTAAAAGATCTCCCATGGAAGTCTTTTGCTTGCAAGAGTCTGGGAGGTCTGTGATGCAGTTCTACAAGAAAAGCTACATGATCACAAAGATCATTACACAGACACAGGAGAAAGTCCCAAACACCAAGGGCTTCACTAAGCCTGGGGGGGTGCTGCTCCAGCACATACTGAAATTCAGGAGACAACAGCGGGATAAGGTGAAGTCTGGCTGCCCCAGAATGGGTGAATGGCAGCAGCAGTTCTGCTGGGCGGGAGAAGGAGGGGAGGACTGGCTCTAGCTCTTCTCCACAGAGGCAGGACTGGCCCGGGGAGCTGAGAGGCCTGAATATTTTCTGCTACAGGCTCCCTCCCTGCCCCGCCAGCATCAGCAGCGGGGTCCAAGTCTCAGAGCGAAGCTGCTGTTGCAGGAAGAGGCGCCGGGCGCACTTGTGTGAGTCCCCGGCAGGGCACAGCCGCTGTGGCCCGCTCTAACTCGGCAGTCACGAGGCCTGAACAGGGAGCCTCTGAGCTGACACTGAATCGCCACCGCCGTGGGACAGTACATGATGAACAGAAAGAAGGAGCATTTTCCCAGCAGCACACATCCAGCCCTAGGCTGACACGTCGAGAGAAAAAACCTGCACCACAAAAGTGTAAACTGACAAGAGAGGATAAATGATTACTCAATGTTAAAATTTGGGCTGCAATTCCGTACTGAAATAGTCAAGCAAAACCACGGATAATAGGCAGGGCTACATCATAAAAAATTCTCTATAGGGATGACTAAATCTTCCTGTCACATAGTTATCTGCTTAGATCAGCAACATCTGATGCTCCTGATCCACTGTGGTTGTTTGCAGGCTTGAGCCATAGGCAGTAGATGATTCAAAAGCAAGTTCTTCCTTTGTTTAAACTATCTCGCTTTATAAATTAATTGCATTTAATCACATGATCAAAGCCAGACTTTCTGTCGCTGAAGAAAACCAATATAGCTTAGTTATTACGTTTCATAGCTTATGCTACTCCAAACTACCGAAACATTTAAAAGCATACAGCATTTTGCCAGTCTTCAGAGACCCACAAGCCGATTTAACCACGCCCTTTACAATGAAAAGTACAAGTCAAACCAAGCTATCACAAAATTACAAGCAAACTAGATCTGTACTTCTTTGTAAAATATCCAGTACTCTGCAGAAATCCAGGCAAAAATGCGCCTGCACCACTGCTCAATTCGCCATTTTTTTTTCCACATAACACCCACGTAATATTCTTTATTATTCTAGTGAGAACATTACAGGTCTTTGAAAGAGTCTCGATTTCTAGGACACTCTTTGTAGTGCTATATTTGCTTTAGCAGTGCTTATTACTTTTGCTTGACTTTGTGTAAATGAAGTTGAGGTTATGTGAGAACACTTCCTCTCGGTCAAGGACAGACAGAAACGTCAACATAAAACCACCCTCTAGTCCCAGAGAAAGAACTATCTGCCAATTTTGCCCCGGGCCAACTGTTGGGACACTGGGGTACAGGAGAAAAACAAGCAAATTAGGACTGAAGTGAGCTCACAAGGAAAGTATTCTGCCCTGAGGGATGTTTACCTCCTAAATGCGGCTTATAGGCTCTTTTACAAATACTGCTCAGACTGAGCAAGATAGAGGGGCAGTGAGATTTTATGCAGCAACGATTTCACTTTTGTGGATACACAAGTCTCTCTCTATTGTTAAAACATGTATTCAAACATATAGCTTATCTGCAACCATTTATAAACACATACATGTAACAGAGAGGTATAGAAATCCTGAGATTAGCAGCCCCTTCTCCCTCTTGCACACATTTGTTTGTTTTTTAAAATTCCTATATATCTTTTTATTTAGCTTCCTGTAGGGACAGTGCAGCTTTGCTAGGAGTGAATGAAAATGTTTGGAAGAATAAGATTTATTTCAAAAGTAAGTTGCTACGAAATGTCTCTCTGCTCTTAACTGTCACTGGTTTCGAATAAATTCTAGGTTTACGGCTATAATCCATATGGTTAAAATTGGCACAGTTTTAGTCCAAGCATCGAGAACTATTTCAGCCCAATTCAGGGAAAAATACACGTGTGCCAGCAAATAAAGGATTCTGTATTGTTAACAGTACAGCAGCTAAAAAATAAAATACAATTAAAAAACCAGTAATAATCACAGGTAAAAAGTCCACACTGCGGCTATTTTAAAGATCTCTTTTTATGAACAACTTTGTAGCATAGTTGTTCTGAGTTGTTAGGGTGATTGGAAGCTGGGGGGAGGTGGGGGGTGTGTTGTTTTGTTTTAATACTCAAATACCCAATGGCTCGAACTCTGCTAGTAAAGTCAATCCCACCTTTCCAAACTGGCACAAAGACTATCACTATAAACACAGATTACACATTTTCACCTTCCCCCAAAACACAGGACAATGTTTCTTACCTATTTGGTCCTCAGGAATCAGCGATTCGATTGGGGGATCAAGTTCTGAGCTTTGGGACAAATAGTTCTTGACTTGGGTCATGAACTGCCGAATCGTTTGCAGCATATCAGTGCTTGAAACATGGCACTCCTTGTTTTCCTGGAGAAAGCTGACATAGTCCTGCACTAGGCATCCAAAATAAGTGCGTTTGTCCTGGGACATCTCTGCAATTTTCTTAATCATCCTCTTTTCAGGGGTCATGAAGGAACTAAAAACTCCACTGACTTTCCGTAGCTGAGATTTCACAATCTTGGGGAGAACAAACGAACTGCTTCTTTTCTTCTTGGGTTTCAAAGGGGGTGCCATGCTCTCTTGGTCGCTTTCCCCCTCAAAATCCTCCAGGCTGCTGTTAGTGTCCCCTTCATAGCCAAACAGCGGCATGCTCCGATCGAAGTCCAGCGAGTCAGACGACGAGGTGGAAATGCTCATGTCACTCAGTCTCTGCCTGCCTCCATTCCACGGTATGTGTGACTCAGAGCTGGTAGCTACCGTGTTTTTGTCAGCTGCTGGAGCCAGCTCAGGCAGTGTTTCACCTGGAACTCCAGCAGCTTCGGGCACACTCACTGAGTTGCAGCCAGGTCGAATTACCGCTGAGGTCTTTGAGCTACCTTCCACCTCTGAGCAAACAGCCTGCTTCTTCAGCCGAGGAGGTGGAATAGGGGTTGGTTTATTCTGCAGCAAATCCAAGCCTCTCTCTTTCTTATGGTTGACTGTTTCTGGCATGCTCGCCTGCTTTATAGTCCTGGAAAGCTGTGGACTCGTGAGGATGCTATTAATAGAAGGAGGTGGTGGCCGGGGCGGGGGGGAGCGAGGCCTCGCTGTGCCATTCACATCTTGAGTTCTTGGGCTCTGCCTTTTCAGACTTCCACTGACATCCTGGCTGTGCACTTTTAAGAAGAGGGGATTAATGAAACACAGCGCTCCGTTGGTCTGGCTGCACTCCAGCTCTGAAGGCGTTCTGGTTCGTATAGAATGCACTCCATTTATAAGGCAGAGCTGACGTGAGTCTTTACAAGCACTGTCCAAAGGCACAGGCCTAAGGGGAGGTGAAGGATCTGGGGGGTTGCTGTTAGCCGGGGAGCTCCAAAAGTCTGAAAATCATCATTGCGTTAACATAAGAATGCAAAAACAGCATACAGATGGCTTTCAAAACATTCAGCTCAACATCACCGGTTTCAAGTATTAAGAAATTGAGACAAGCTTTTATTCATTTGGGGGGGGGGGGGGGGGGGCAGAAAGAAGACAGCCTCACGTCTGTAAAATGAAGACTTCCTTCCCTTCCAAGCGTAGCTTAGCAATGCCAATTGCAAGTCTCATTATCTTTGTACACTGCTTGAGATAAGGATTCAAATGAGGACTCAAGTGCTGTAGTCACACAGATTGTGGATCAGTCTCAACAGGAAAGTCACCAGGAGCCGTATGAAGACATAAACGTGAAATCAAATGGCTTCTGTGTATGTGCCAGAGACATCTGAGGAGTGATTCCCCAGACAT